GTCTGTCCTTACATAGACATAAGGTGAGTAATATTTAATATAAAATAATGTGTTTGTTTCCTTGCTATTTCATAACTTTGCTTTCAAAGTACTACATTACTGTACAGTATGTCTCTCTCTCTCTTAAATACAGAAATTGTATATAAGCCTATCATCACAGGTAAGTAGCTTTATAAAACATGAAATGATTTCCAATACTGTGTTATTAATATGACTATAATACTGTATGCTATGAAAATTTTATAGTAATTCATTCATTAGTGTATAGGCTACAGTGAAGCAATCATATCAATTACACCAGTCTACCAAAAAGCAATCATATTGCTGCTTCTTTGTTATCCATGCATGAATTGCTATAACTATAAATATTAATTTCTTTTTCATGTTATCTTTTTTTATGTCTAATGTTAATACAATCTGTAACATCTACAGTGTTTTATATCATATAAGACATATTGATGTAGGTGCATACTTGCTAAGTCACTTCAGTTGTGTCTGACTCTTTGCAACTCTAGGGACTGCAGCCCACCAGGCTCCTCTGTCCATGAGCTTCTCCAGGCAAGAATACTGGAGTGGGTTGCCATGCTCTCCTCCAGGGATCTGGACCAGCATCTCCTGTGACTTCTGCATTGCAGGTGGATTCTTTACCACTGAGTCACCAGGGAAGGCCACTGATGAAGGTACTGATAGATAATTCATCTTGTAAACAGACGTAAAGTTATGAAGTCAATCAACATAGCATAGTAGAATAACTGCATTTTCTCCTCCTTGTAACTTTAATAACATTTTTTTCTCTTGTTTACTTTATCATGATTATAGTATATAATATTCACAAAATAGGTTAATTGTTTATGTTATTGATAAAACTTCAGGTCAACTGTAGGCTACTAGCAATTAAGGTTTGGGGGAGTCAAAAATTATAAAGATTTTTGACTGTACAGTTGGCCCCTGCAATGTCTAAAGGCCAACTTACAATCAATTTGATTTTGAGTTTCTTGAACAGAGTCTGTGGCCTATGATTATAATTCCAGAACCCAGCATAAAGTATAAACAGTGAGTGCTCAAAAAATGTTGAAAGTGTCCTGTTTCAATTAATCCATTTATTATTCTGTTAAGCAGCCATATCTCCAGATCCAAGTGAGATGTACGGTACAGTTCAGACCTCAACTATCGCTTTTCTTCTTTTTTTGTTCATGGCCTCATTAGTTTCAGGAATTTTCTGGGCCTCACCCTTCAGAATTTAAACCATGTCCTGAGCCTTGACACTGGCATGAAGATCCAGAGAGTCCCTTAGTCCCAACAAGAAAATCATTTTGAACTAAGCTTCAGTTGGAGGATTTCCTGGTTATTTTCAATGCAAACAGGGTGTGCCTTTATTTGGTTATCCAGTAAACAATGAAGTATCAGGAAAAGGACAAGGTGCAGAGACTACAAAGAAATCATCGCCTTAAGCAGTAGTCTGTGTGTTTCTGTGAGGGTCTAGCACCCCCTGTTTAAATTTTTTTTTACAATTTCTATAGCAGTTTCGAAAGAGGAATTCCACTTACACTCTGCCAGTTCCCACCATCTGTTTTTAATTCTAAAGCGGGGTTGTGGCATAGTGATGAGAGGCTGCCTGCTAAGTACTGAAGGATAAGAGCTTGCCAGGAAAACCCAGGGTTTTCTTATGAGAAACCACCATCTGGAGCCAGGAGAGATCGCTCATCTTGCAGGAAACTAAGTCTACTGCATTATCAATGCCCAGCCCCGCACTGAACTGGGTCACAGAACCAGACCTGGTTGATCTCATAGGGTGCTGAATTTAATGTAGAAAACTGGCTAAGGAATATTATTAGGTCCAGAGCTACCGCCTGAAAGGAACAAGATTCGCCCAGAAGAACCACTAGTCATCCACTGCGGAAGCGTAAAGACGCAAGGGGCTCTTCAGCCCGAGGGCTAGCTGGGCTTCTGCTACTGCCTAGCCTGAACGGCCTCATCCTGGAGTTTCACCCCTTCGACCCGTTCTCGACGGACTGCTGGGCCCTTCTACAGTTTAAAGGGTTCTGAGTAGGGGAAGGGGCCAGAAAAACAGAAAATAGGCCGTCCGGGCGAAAGGTGGGCGCAGCCCCGTCCCCTGCTCCGACTGGCTAGGGTTGTCCCGATCGCTATCTGTGATTGGCTGCTTCGGCAAAGATGCCGGCGGGGCGGAACCTGACGCCAGGTCCTGCACGCCATTCATTGGCTCCTTCCTTGTGGGCAGGGCCTCAGGGCGCTGCGGGAAAGGTGGCCGAGGAGGTGGACGCTGCTGGGGTCTTCGTCTCAGGGCCAGCGGTAAGTGCCGCTCTGGCGGGGCCAAGCGCTTCGGATGCTGCGGAGACTCGACCATGGGAACCAACTGGGCTTCTCCATTTTCAGTTTCCGCCTCGGGGCCCTAGTTCCTGCTGACGAGGGAGGTGGGTAGACAACTGTGCCTCTTCAGAGGTCCTGCAAGCGATCAGCCTTACTCAGCCCTCATCCGCCCCGTGCCCTGGGGCTCTGCCTGGCATCCTGTGCCCGGAAGTTACCATCCCCCTCTGCTCCCGAATCGCGGAGGTCACCTCCTCCCCACCTCCCTCTCTGGCCCCACCTCTCGAGTCTCTTTCAGGCTCCGCCCCCTTCCCCTCAAACGTCTTTCCTTGAGGGCCTGGGGCTCTGCCAAACGCAAGGTTGAAGCTATTAATTAAGGTTTTGTCCAAGGAATTTGTGTAATATAAAAACAAAATAATAAGGCAATAGTTACTATCCCTAAATCCTTTTTTGCAGAGACTTACAGAGGCCATCACTTAACTTTTTTATGTTTAGAGCTTTTTATGTCTCTCTAAATAATATTCATCCTATTTTCTTGATATATCATTTTGGTATTTACCCGACTTCCCTTCTGCTACCATCTTCTCAGTTTTCAGTAACTATTTTTATTCATTTGTTGGTCCACTGTAGCTTTAAATCATAGATATCAATATCTGTTGTGTAGCTGGTATCTCTTGGTGCCCCCTCCGCTTTAGATGAGGATGTTGACATTTCTTTCATATGCAGCCTTCTATCAGCTGGACCTCAACATTTACATTTAATTCTCACGTATTCAAAAATATTTGAGCACTGTTTTTGGCCTTGAGTATATGGTAGTAAACAGACTATGTCCCTATCCTCGTGAAACTTGTACTGTGGGAAGTAAGACACATACATGTCAAACGACATTCAGAGCAGGAATTTGGAGGTCATTTCTAGCTGGAGGGACAGCAGGAATCCGAGTGGGGTGGAATGAATGGACATGGGAGGGGTCTGCAAGAAAGTGTGGAAGTTTCCCCTTTTGTTCGACAGGGCTGTTTCAGGATCAAGAGAGAGCTTCCTGTTGGACTGAGGGCTGGGGAACCAGGATAGGCTGTTCGGTAGGTCAGTGACAATAAGACAAGCTTTTAGGATACTGATCCTACAGTGTGGTAGTGTCAGTGGGAGGAGGAAAAGCAAGAGGCAAGGAGGCCAGTGAGAAGGCAAGACCTGCTGATTGCCTGTAACAGTCCTTCAAAATCTACTTATTGCCCCACTTCTTCAGGAAGCCTTACTGAGCTACCCTAAACCACCGTGATTTCTCTCTCCTCTTGAATTTTTATTATCCTTGAAGCTAGAGAGGTTAGATACTTTGCCCAGGATAGAATGATGGAGCCCAGGACCAAGCATCTGTAATATGAGAAGAGTAGAGTAATGATTTCTACTTAGGGTTGTGAAATACATTGAGTCAGTTCATTTAAAAAGCTCAAAAGAGTGCCTGGCATATAGTATATTCAAGGAGTGTTTGCTGTTATTACTAATGTATAGTATGCTCTCAACTCCCTAACTAGTTATAAAAGCATTTGGGGTTTAGGAACTATTTTCTATGTCTAGGTCAAGTATTTATTCAGCAGTACTGCATGGCAGGCAGTATTTAGATCCTCAGGATACGATGGTGACTAAGACCATCAGGGCTTTTCCCTTTATAGACTAGCAGGTAATACACACTTGCGCAGTGAACAAATACATATTGCCAACTGTACCAAGAGCCTACCACTGTTCCTTTGTACACACATATAGCCTGGGCAGAAATCTCAGGTTTCTTGCTGGAGTAGTGAATTCATGAATAATGGGTTTAATTATCATCAGGTGACCTTTGTTTTTATCTTCCAAGGGCTGTTTGTCCATATCTCCTTCTAACATGTCACTGAGGAGATTGTCTTGGCATCTTAGTGGATGTTAGTACTGGAAAAGTGGGCAGAGGTTTACAGAAGGTGGGGAAGCATTGTTGGTTTCCTTATACCTTCCACTTCAGTGTGCATCACAGGAAAACAAAATGAGCCTATAGGCAATGGGCTTCTGGCATATTAACTTTTCTGCATCTTGACGTAAAAAGAAACATCCTGGAGAGCGAGGCTGGGGGTATTTCTGGCTTTAGTTTGGCTACTGAAACACCACATGGCTAAGTTCTCTTGAATTCACCCAAGTTAAAGAGGAATAGTGTTATTCTGCAGAGCATGATAGAGGTAGAGTGAGAATGGTCTGGCCAGTGAACCCCGGGGAGGTCAGAGATGATCAGGCGAATGGAAACTGAGAATTCTCAACATCCCAACTCTCAGGCTCCCCCAGATGCCCCTTCTGTGATGTGAGAAATATGACTCAATCAGATTCAGTTGGGAAGACCAGTGCTTATTACACAGGGTCCATAAAGGGAGTGGCTCCTTCCTCCAGTATTCTTGCCTGGGAAGTCCCATGGGCAGCGGAGCCTGCCAGGCTACAGTCCATGGGGTCACAGAGAGTCAGACATAACTTGGTGACTAAACCACCACCATAAAAGATCCAAATGAGGCAGTTATTGTTTTCAGTCACTACCCATTCCTGTTACTGCTCCTGCTGCTCTTCTGCTCCTTTTTCTCTTATTTGTGTTTCTTTCCTCCTCAGCCTTCAGTGCCTCCACCTGGTTTTGTTCATGTTCTGCGGAGGGTGTGGCAGGAACCATGGATCCCTCAGCACTGATGGAAGCTGTAGTAGAAGAAGTGGCCTGTCCCATCTGCATGACCTTCCTGAAGGAGCCTGTGAGCATCGACTGTGGCCACAGCTTCTGCCACAGCTGTCTCTCAGGACTCTGGGAGGTCCCAGGAGAATCCCAGAACTGGGGTTACTCGTGTCCCCTCTGCCGGGCTCCCATCCAGCCCAGGAACCTGCGGCCTAATTGGCAGCTGGCCAATGTTGTGGAAAAAGTCCGCCGGCTGGGGCTGCATCCAGGAATGGGGCTGAGGGGTGACGTGTGCGAGCCCCACAGAGAACAGCTGAAGATGTTCTGCAAAGAGGACGGCCTGATCATGTGCGAGGCCTGCAGCCGGTCCCCCGAGCATCAGGCCCACAATGTTGTGCCCATGGAGGATGTCGCCTGGGATTATAAGGTGAGAGATGGAGGCCAGCCCCCATCCCCAATCCAGTTTCTCCCCTGCCCCTCATTTGGCTATCTCTAGATCAAGAACTTGAGAGGGAGCCCCAGAGACAAGATGAGAACTGATTCCTTTGACTTCTCACACCACCAGGTCCTAGGTGCCTGATCCAGTGAGCTGCAAGTCTCCTTGCTTTTATGACCTTTCTTCCTTCCCTCCCACTTCCAAACCTATCCCCACCCGTTTCCTGATCCCATAGGCCTTAATGCCTAACCCAAACTTGCTTTCCTTACTGAGAATTTGAGGGAGACCAGTTTGGGTTAGCTGGAGTTCTGGGTGCCTTGGATGAGGTCATCAAGACTGTACCTATCAGAACCTGCAAACTCCTAGCAAAGCCACAAATAATCTTTCAATATCAGGTGAGTCACTTCAAACTCCTCATTTTATAGACAGACATGAAGGCTTGGAAATCTGAGATCATGATCATTGGTTTTAGAGCTAGAAAGGACCATGGCAGAGTCATTTAGGATTGAGTTCGATTGTCTGATCTTATGTTGTAGGGGTCCCTTCTGACTTAAGTTAGTGAAAGGAAGATCAAAGACTAGAATTCAGGTCTTCTTTCTCCTTACCTAGTGCTCTTTCTCTTCTTACCTTTTATTTGTTGGGGGGCTTTTGGGAAAGCCATCTCTGACACACACACTGCTCCTTTTTTATAGCGATCCTTCTTGACTTCTAACTTCTTTTTCCTTAGATGTCCATGCTGACATCTTTATCAGAATCATTATCCCAATGATTCTGTGATACATTGATCCTCTACTGGTCTTAATTCTTAAAGTTAAGATTAGAAGGTAAAAGTGTTAGATGAATCCCTGATTTAGCTGTTTTCCTTTCCAAAGAGAATTTCTGAAAAATTGTTTATTTTGTTTTGCAAGTGTTAGAATAGGGAGGCAATATCCCTTACACACAAGAATTAAAGAGCTAAGTTAAATCCCAGCCAAACCATTTACCAGCTGAATCACTTTGGATAGGTCACTCTCTAAGCCTCAGTTTTATTGGTAAATCTTTAATAAAATGGCTAATATTGTTATGAGATTACTTTATGCTTTCCAGTAGTAATCTCTTGCATTAGTGTCTATGATAGTACTCTTTTAACGTCCATATGAACCATGCAAGGATCTTGCAAAAATTCAGATTCTAATTCAGGGAGGTCTCGGGTAAAGTCCAAGGTCCTGCATTGCTAACAAGATCCCAGGTGATGCTGATGCTGCTGATGCACTTTGAATAACAATGTTTAGGAGGCTGTAGGATAACAAGGCAGGAAAATGTGAAAAGAGGCACTCGTAGGAAAAGTCCAAGGTACTTTTCTGGCAAGGTTGGAAACAGATCTTTTCTTCTGCTTTAGGAGACTGTGGGAGAGTAAATGATTCTCAGATGGAAAGACCTTGGCTGTCATCCGGGCAGGAATCCTCTGTGGCTTCCCTTTTCTCCCAGCATCCGTTCTGGCCCATCCTCTGAGGGATGCTTGTTTTCCCATCACCTGCCAATGCTCGGAAGTCTGGCAATCCAGGCAGGCTGCCCGAGGTGGCCTCATGAGGTTTTTCTCTCTTTCAGTGGAAACTCCATGAGGCTCTGGAACATCTGAGGAAAGAGCAGGAAGAGGCCTGGAAGCTGGAAGTTGGTGAGAGGAAACGAACTGCCAACTGGAAGGCAAGTTGCCCCATGAAGAAAGGAGTCTGTATGGTCCCTTTGTTGTCCTGAAGCGGCTTCCTCATGGCCCCCTCCTTATTCCTGTGAGGCAGAATGTGGGGTTTGAGGTCAGAAAACCTGGGGTCCTCATACCAGCTTTCTGTACCAGATATGCAGCTTTAAGCAAACCTTGGAACCACTTGCTTCTAAGTTCCTTGAATGTGATGTAGGGAGAACCTCTGGGCTTACATCCTCATATGTGAGAAAGGAAAAGTGCACACCTCACATATACTTTAGCTCACAGAGGAATGACTTGTTTAATCCTTAGTAGAGTATAGTTTCTGTTTCTCTTTCCTCAGCTAGAGCATATTTACTAAAAGTTCAGTAATTAAAATATTGGAAAATCATCTTGGAAATAAATTCAAGGCCCGTAACTATCAAACTATCTCAATCAACAGGAGGTAACATTGAATCAATATAAAACAGCATGAAGAATTGATATAACACCAGTAAGAAACAAAAGCAACTAACAGTGTAATTTTACACTGTTTTAGAGGCTTAAGGGTAATGCTCCTGAAAATAGAATATATTATTCTGAAAATGGAAAATAATATAGAACATAGATTGCCAAGATAGTATCCTGAGCCCTGCTGGGGTCAGTAAGAGTTAGTAATAGGGACTAAGGAGCATGTCCTGGAGTTGTGAGAACAGGAAAGTAGGAAAAATATCCTTTATCTTTGCCTTTATAGTGCCTGGCACACAGTACCAAAACATTTCAGAGTGTGTGTATATGCACATGCCAGTGTCCTCAATCCTGGGTGGCCCTTATACGACCAGTATCTGCTGATTTCTTTTTTTTTTTTAATTTTGTTTTCAATTAGAGGATAGTTGCTTTACAATACTGTGTTGGTTTCTGCCATACGTCAACATGAATCACCCATAGATATACAATATGTCCCCTCCCTCTTGAACCTCTCTCCTACTTCCCACCATATCCCTCTGCTCACAGAGCACCAGGTTGAGCTCCCTGCTTCATATAGAAAATTCCCACTGGCTATCTGTTTTACATATGGTATGTATATGTTTCAATGCTGCTCTCTCACTTCATCCCCACCCTTTTCTTCCGTGACTGTGTCCACCAGTCTGTTCTCTGTGTCTGCATCTCCATTGCTGCCCTGCAAATAGGTTCATCAGTACCATCTTTCTAGATTCCACATATATGCACTAATATATAATACTTGTTTTTCTCTTTCTGACTGACTTCACTCTGTATAATAGGCTGTAGGTTCATCCACCTCATTAGAACTGACTCAAATGTGTTCCTTTTTATGGCTGAGTAATATACCATTGTATATATGTACCACAACTTCTTTATTCATCTGTCAATGAACATCTAGGTTGCTTCCATATCCTAGCTATTGTAAATAGTGCTGCGATGAACATTGGGGTACATGTGTCTTTTTCAGTTATGGTTTCCTTAAGAGTATATACCCGGTAGTGGGATTTTGGGGTCATTTGGTAGTTTTATTCGTAGTTTTTTAAGGAATCTCCATATTCTCTATAGTGGCTTTTATCATTCCCACCAATAGTGCAAGAGAGTTTCCCTTTTCTCCAGACTCCCTCCATCATTTATTGTTTGTAGATTTTTTGATGGTGGCCATTCTGACAGATATGAGGTGATACCTCATTGTTGTTTTGATTGTATTTCTCTAATAATCAGTGATGTTGAGCATCTTTTTATGTGTTTATTAGCCATCGGTGTGTCTTCTTTGGTGAAATGTCTGTTTAGGTCTTCTGCCCACTTTTTGATTGGGTTGTTTTTCTGGTATTCAGCTGCATGAGCTGCTTGTATATTTTGGAGATTAATCCTTTGTCAGTTGTTTCATTTGCTGTTATTTTCTCGCATTCCAAGGGTTGTCTTTTCACCTTGTTTATAGTTTCCTTTACTGTGCAGAAGCTTTTAAGTTTAATTAGGTTCCATTTGTTTATTTTTGTTTATATTTCCATTACTCTAGAAAGTGGGTCTTTGAGGATCTTGCTGTGATTTATATCAGACTGTGTTCTGCCTATGTTTTCTTCTAAGAGTTTTATAGTTTATGTCTTACATTAAGGTCTTTTAATCCGTTTTGAGTTTATCTTTGTGTATGGTGTTAGGAAGTATTCTGATTTCATTCTGATACACACAGCTGCCTAATTTTCCCAGCACCACTTACTTGAAGAGACTATCTTTTCTCCATTGTATATTTTTGCCTCCTTTGTGCTAAGGTGCCCATGGGTGTGTGGATTTATCTCTGGGCTTTCTATCTTGTTCCATTGGCCTGTATTTCTGTTTTTGTGCCAGTACTGTACTGTCTTGATGACTGACTGGAGCTTTATAGTATAATCTGAAGTCAGGAAGGTTGATTCCTCCAGCTCTTCTTCTTTCTCAAGATTGCTTTGGCTATTTGGGGTCTTTTGTGTTTCCATACAAATTATGAAAATTTTTGTTCTAGTTCTGTGAAAAATATCATTGGTAGTTTGATAGGGATTGCTTTGAATCTGTAGATTGTTTTGGGTAGTATAATCATTTTCACAAGATAGGTAGATTCTGCCAATCCAAGAGCATGGTATATCTCTCCATCTGTTTGTGCCATCTTTGATTTCTTTCATCAGTGTCTTAACAGTTTTCTGCATACAGGTCTTTTGTCTCTTTAGGTAGATTTATTCCTAGGTATTTTATTCTTTTTATTGCAATGGTGAATTTATCTTTCTGATTTTTCATTGTTAGTGTATAAGAGTGCAAGGGATTTCTGTGTATTAATTTTATATCCTGCAACTTTACTATATTCATTGATTAGCACTTGTAATTTTCTTGTGGCATCTTTAGGGTTTTCTAGATATAGTATCATATCACCTACAAACAGTTTTACTTCTTTTTTTCCAATCTGGATCCCTTTTATTTCTTTTTCTTCTTTGATTGTTGTGGCTAGAACTTCCAAAACTATGTTGAATAATAGTGGCAGGAGTGGCCACTCTTGTCTTGTTCCTGATGTTAGGTGAGATGCTTTCAGTTTTTCACCATTAAGAATAATGTTTGCTATGGGTTTGTCATATATGACCTTTATTATGTTCAGGTATATTCCCTCTATGCCTACTTTCTGGAGTTTTTATCATAAATGGGTGTTGAATTTTATCAAAAGCTTTCTATGTATTGAGATCATATGGTTTTTATCTTTCAGTTTGTTAATATGGTGTATCATATTGATTGATTTGCATCCCTGGGATAAAGTCCACTTGATCATAAATATGACCTTCCTAATGTGTTGTTGGATTCTGTTTGCTAGAATTTTGTTGAGGATTTTTGCATCTATATTCATCAGTGACATTGGCCTGTAATTTGCTTTTTTTCTTGGCATCTTTGTTTGGTTTTAGTATCAGGTTGATGGTGGCCTCACAGAATGAGTTTGGGAGTTTTTATTCCTCTTCAATTTTTGGAAGAGCTTGAGCAGAATAGGTGTTAGCTGTTCTATAAACTTTTGGTAGTATTCGCCTGTGAAGCCATCTGGCCCTGGGCTTTTGTTTGTTGAAGATTTTTTATTACAGTTTTGATTTCTGTGCTTGTGGTTCATCTGTTCATATTTTCTGTTTCTTCCTGGTTCAGTTTTGGAAGGTTATACTTTTCTAAGAATTTGTCCATTTCTTCCAGGTTATCCATTTTATTGGCATATAGTTGCTTGTAGTAATCTCTTATGATCTTTTGTATTTTTGTGTTGTCTGTTGCAACTTCCCCTGTTTCATTTCTAATTGTATTGATTTGAGTCTTCTCCCTTTTTTTCTTGATGTCTGGCTAATGGTTTGTCAGTTTTTGTTTATCTTCTCAAAGAACCAGCTTTTAGTTTTATTGATCTTTGCTACTGTCTCCATTTCTTTTTCGTTTATTTCTGCTCTGACCTTTATGATTTCTTTCCCTCTACTAACTTTTGGGTTTTTTTGTGCTGATTTCGGATCCTGGCTGTGCAGATACAGGTGGAAACCCGAAAGCAGAGCATCATATGGGAGTTTGAGAAATATCGGCGATTACTAAAGAAAAAACAGCCACCAGGCCGGCGGCTGGAGGTGGAGGCCGCTGCAGCTCTGGCCAGCCTGGAGCAGGAGGAAGGGGAGACCATGCAGAAACTAGAGTTAAATCATGAGGCACTCATCCAGCAGAGCCGGGTCCTATGGAGGATGATCGCAGAGCTGGAAGAGAGGTCTCAGAGGCCTGTCCGCTGGATGCTGCAGGTGAGGAGCAGGTTTTCCTGGGAAGTCTGAGCCAGAGCTGAAGGTAGCCTGGCATTCTGAGAGAGGGGATTGCCTAGTCTTCAGTAGGGCCTGTAAGCACTCGGCCAGCCAGCACGGATCTTGTTACCCACCACCAATACCAGTTGTGCCCATACCCTGGTCTGGAGAATGGCCTCGCAGCCTCCTAGATGGGCATTGTTTGGGCGGCTCTTGCCTCATACCTATTCCTCCCCTCTGGCCAGAGAGTTGGGATGGAGCCCGAGGTCGGCCAGTCTGGCAAGAGGGCTAGGTCTGCCCTGCCCACTCCTGTAGGCTCCTCCCCTCTACCCCTGCATGCCTCCTCTCCAGCTCTCCGCCTCCCTCTCCATAGAGAGACCTCTGTGTCTGTCTGGTCCCTTTGAGGAATAGGGCATACTCATGTGCTGTCTTTCTTTTTCTCCTTCCAGGGTATTCAGGAAGTCTTAAACAGGTATGTTTCCGTCTTTGGGATAGTGGGGCCTGGCCAGAGCTAGAAATGGGGAAGGAACGTAGACCAAGTACCTACAGAAAAGTGGGTGCTGGTCTGTAAACTTCTCCCTATTCTGTTGTATTGGATAAAGAAACTTTGAACATCTTTCTTTTTTTAATTTGTATTGTTACTTGGTCAAATTCATTTCAACCATTGGCAATAAGAATTTCGGTGAGAGCTATAACATGTGTGGTGGCCTGAGCAGGTGGCCCAAGGAGAGGGAGTGCCTGCAGATGTCTGCATGAGTGTTGGTCCTCTGAGTCTGCGTACCAGCCCTTCTCCTCTGCTGTGCACCTCTGCCTCTCCCAAAGTCAGAGTCATACCTAACCCTTCCCATGGCTCAGGAATGTGATTATCTCTCTGTACCATAGACCAGTCAAATAATTATCCCCTCCTTGCTCTGCCTGCTGTTGTGAGGAGGGGCAGCTCACTGACTCCATCCCTGGCCAAGCCCGCTTTCTGTACTAAGGGAAGGCCTCACCCTTGGCAGAGCCAGGACTTCTGACCCCAAGGCCTTCCCCATCTACCAGGAGCAAGTCCTGGCGTCTGCAGAGACCAGAACCAGTCTCCTTGGAGCTAAAGACAGATTGCCGTGTGCTGGGGCTCAGAGAGATCCTGAAGACATATGCAGGTAATGAGCACAGGGCAGAATTGTGGTGAGTGGGGAGTGGGACCCCTCCCTGAGGAATGAAATCTCCCAGTGCCCTCTGGATGCCCCATCTGTCCTCACCCTCATCCGTCATGGAGGAAATCCGTGGCTGTATCTGTCACAGAGAGGTCACCCAGGCCCCCTCACTCTGTGTCCGGGCGCCAACCAAGACCTTTTTTCCTCAGCGGATGTGCGGCTGGATCCAGACACTGCCTACTCTCGCCTCATCGTGTCTGAGGACAGGAAATGTGTGCGCTATGGAGACACCAAGCAGAAGCTGCCCGACAACCCTGAAAGATTTTACCGCTACAACATTGTCCTGGGCAGTCAGTGCCTCTCCTCGGGCCGGCACTACTGGGAGGTAGAGGTGGGAGACAGGTCCGAATGGGGCCTGGGCGTGTGTAAGGAGAACGTCGACCGGAAGGAGGTGGTCTTCTTATCCCCCCACTATGGATTCTGGGTGATCAGGCTGAGGAAGGGCAGTGAGTACCGGGCAGGCACTGACGAGTACCCCCTCCTGTCCTTGCCCGTCCCTCCCCGCCGGGTGGGAGTCTTCCTGGATTATGAGGCTCATGACATCTCCTTCTACAACGTGACTGACAACGGCTCCCACATTTTCACTTTCCCCCACTACCCCTTCCCTGGGCGCCTCCTGCCCTATTTCAGCCCTTGCTACAGCATTGGAGCCAACAACACTGCTCCCCTGGCCATCTGCTCTCTGGACGGGGAGGACTAAGAGAGCTACCATTTTAGCCAGAGACCTCAGAGTTTCACCTGGCCTGCAGGGGTCTGAAGGGCGGACCCTGCCCCTGGTTAGGTGATCCTGCCCAGAGAACTGAACTGAGCCTGGAACGCAGGGATTCCACTGCCTGACCCAGTGGTCTCACTCCTGGGCCAATGTCTCCCACTAAACCACTCATGTTAAAAAGCCAAGGCTTGGCCAGAGGAGCATCATGGCCCTGTGGGAAATGAACAAGGCTTTTGGTGAGGATCAGAGTGGTCCTAAGGATCATGACAGTCCTTTATGCAGGTCACACCCCTTGTCCACATCTGTGTCAGGGCCATAAATCAGGATAATAAAGTAGATCTGACCTTCAGGAAACCCACTGGGTCAGGTTTACCAATAACCAGAAGAATCCTGTCTGTGTCCAGAGCTGGTTACTGTGCCAACACCAGAAGGAGGATGCTTCACCTGAGGTTTGCCACCTCTGAGCACCCATCTTTCACCCCAGCACTCTGACCTCCCAGCTGGAGAAATGTGTCACTGACTGCCCAGATCACCCACAGTGGCTGTCCCCTCTCTGAGCACAACCTGGGCGAGTCACTGTCTCAGACTCTAAGCAAACCTGTGTCCTAGTCCTGCCCTTTTCTCTAAATAGCAGGATCAGAAACCTATGAACCTTTGTTTCTATTTTAACTTCATGGGTGAAGAAACTGAAATGGCCTTAATCCAGCCAGTTATTTCTCACAGAGCTGTGGAGAGAAGGGTACATAGATTATAAAGTATTTCTCATGTTCAAATGAAACAAAGGTGATGAACTCGCTTCTCAGGTCACACATCTGCATATCATTCATTACATTCAAGTCTGAACATCCCAGTCTTTGAAAGATTTTAAGTGTCCTCAATGGGAAAATGGGTGTAGTAACTGCATCCTCTCCTACCTCACAGAGTCGTTGTGAAGATCTCAGATCCATCCTGAACGTTTGTTCCTTTCTCAGGGACAAGGAAGGCAAGCCATGGATTTTGCCTGTGGTGACCTTCCCATCTTGCCTTTTCCCAGCATCTTTGCAGCACTGCCTTAGTTTCCTAGCACCTCTTCTGACAGTCCTGCCCTTCAATAGAAAGATGCCCTGCCTGGCAAACTTCAGGCCACGGTAATATATTCAGCATCGATATGTGTTTGTCTTTGGGTTAGAACAGGGACTATGACATCAGGGTAGAGACTGGAAATAATACAAAGAAAAATGTAAAACAAATGCACTGAAAGGAAGGCTCACCCATAATTTCCTTGGGCAAAAATGTGGATCTTTGTATGTCACCAAGGGAACGTTCATAGTTCTAGTAACTACATAATATTCTGCTTTTGTCTCTCTAAATCTGTGACAAATGATAGAAAGCAGAAGGAAAGCGTGGGGATAAAGAATAGGACTGGGCACAAAAACCTATATATTTAATGAAGGTGAATTAAGACTATATCTGGGCTATTGTTATGTGTGTGGTGAAAATAATTCATTACAGGTCTTCAGAGTATGAAGTGGGAACAGTTGTGCTGGAATCAAACTGTGAGGCAAGCGTATGAAAACTGGGCTTTGCCTGTTTCAGGGGCTACAGTATACATGTATTGTCACGTTGATGCTGTGTAACACAACCTCTGATGTAGTTTAAGCTTGAAGGTGGTGACTGTTGAGTTAGGACTGGGCAGCAAAGTAGACACGGGTTAGGTATATGCAGAAGTAACATAATTCCTATAATAAAGAATAGTATAAATTGTCTTTCTGATGTCATTGTATTGGTTGTTCACATGTAAACGAGGTGAAACAGGCCAACATGGAGAAATAAGCTCATTCTACCCACCATGCTTCCAAGTTGCTCCTTGAGCGTTAGCATCAGAGTGGGAGAACTTTCCATCATCTGCCTGGAAGGGAATGAACTGGTAAGTCACACACCTGGTCCTGGCAAAGGGTTGAGCTGATCTACATGAGAAGGACCTTGTCTTTGTGTGTATAGGGGGGCTGGGCAGGGGAATTCCCTGGGTAAGTGTGAGTATAGACTTGAGAAATAGAATGTAGGAAGTGCTTCCAGTTATGTCCATGGAAACTTCTCAGAGAGGCTAGGGGCTGAAACACTGTTGTCCTTTTATGATGGTTTTCTTAAGACAAACCTTGGAAGTTTCCTAGAAAAAGAATTGCTGGGTGAGTTCAGTCAAACTTAGGAAGAAATAAGGAGTAGAATGTGTTCATTTGTAATGTGCTCTTTGGACTGTTGTTTTGTTTCCATTTTTATATTTATAAGCTCATTTGGGTGCCATGGTTACATGTTAGAAGAATAACAAGGTTAAACATACTATGTGTTAATCATAATGTCTGATTTTTAAGACCAGGCAAGATAAAAGGTCTGAAGTATATGCCAATCCTTGTCTCTAGGGTAGTTGCTGACAATAATCTTCTAAGAATAAGAATCTTATTTGTTCAGTTCACCATTGTAGCTCCATTCTGGCACTGAGTATGTTTTTGTAAACAATTAAGTTCAGTGAATTTTCTTTTATATACCTAGAATCAAAACAAAAGTAAGCTCTTCTTGCCCCATAGGGGCATGAAAGACCAAATGTTATTTAATTGCAATCCCATTCAAAAACTTATTTGATACAATACTGTAAAGTAATTAGCCTCCAACTAATAAAAATAAATGGAAAAAAAAAAGGTATTCTAAAAGAAAAAAAAAAAAACTTATTTTATGGCTAATTACAAAAGAAGTCCAGAGGGGAAGAGGCTGGTAGACATGTGGAGGGCAGAGTGCCTTCACTGCTCCTAGAATGCCTAGGGTTGTACCTCCATGTTGGTGTGATCATTCACTACAAGCCAGGGATGATCTTTGCTCATCTTTGTTTTGCTGCCAGAGAAAATAGAAACCAAGGGTTGCAATGTCTGGCCCTTGAGAGAAAAGGCTATTCAAAGGGTAAAACACTTGGGTTCTACAAAATGTGGACAGAGGGAAGATCCTTGGGTTCCCAACTCTCCACAGGAAACCCAATCTCCCTTTTTTTCAAGCAAGATTGGCTGTAATTTCTTAAAATTCTAACACAGAGTCAACTGAGGGTTCCAGTCTCTAGTTAAATGAGCATATGTTCCTCTGCTAAGACAAAGGTCCTATCTGAATATACTGGAAGAAGCACAGGCTTTTCTGTTTGGGGGAGCCATGGCAGGGACCCAGTCCACTTTGGGAGGTATGAAGTTCGATATTTGAGAACGTCTCATCTGGCTTCAGAGAATACCAATGTGAATGAAACACAAAGCTGGCAGGGCAGGGTTCTGATGGAAATGCCAGAAAAAAAAAAAAATTCTGTTTTGCATGCAGGTTGGACTATCCTTTTGTCACTTTCCATCAGGTTCTGTAGTGCATCTAATAATTCTTTGATTTAATAGGCATAACCAAGTCACTGGGTAGCTTGTGGAGAGAGAATAGTGTGACTTGTCAAAATGGAAATCTTACCAAACACGCTTAACCATCACACCGTCTTGATGGTTTTATGTTATGGAGTTGCAAGGGGTTGATCTGATTTTTAGAGGTGGATTCCTACTTCTTTGATTTTCAGAAATAAAATACATTCTAAGCAAGTACATAATATTAGAAAAAGGTATAGCTGCTAAGATGTTAAGCATCACTTTGCTTTGGAACAGTTTCAACATGAATGCTGATCTACACAGAAATACATTTAAATGGTGCCTAGGATTACCCTTTCAGAGTGTGAAATTAAAACATTATTGGGTATATGTATAAGTATATACAGTATTTCAAGTGTTGTTTTATGTGATTTCCACTCATTTTTAATTTAATTTAATCTTCAGTACCCTCTATGAATTAGCATTATTTCCCCATTAGTAGAAAGGAGGTAAAGACTCAGACACAATAACTTACCATCAACACTTATTAGGAAATTATATTTTATTATGATTTTCATATGTACCAGAATCAAATATATACATCTCTTACATATGAAATATCTTTCTTTTAACATATACAGACTTATTCAGTTAAGATTTTCTGCAAGGGAAAAATGAAAACAAACTCACATTGCTTAGCCTCTGTTGCTTAGAAACAAAAAGCTGGTGAAAACTATTAAGTTGGTGCAAAAATAATTGGGGTTTTGCATTGTTGAAATTTACCATTTGATATTGGGATACATTCTCAAGTGTGGTTATTTTATACATCATTGTAATGTACATATATATTGTTTTATGACTTTTCGCTAGTTATTAGTTGCTGTTTATTTTAGACTATATAACTAATGTTAGACAAAAAGTAAATTCAAGGGACTTTTTTATTCAAGTTCAAATGAGTCTTCAAGCAGCAGAGATAACCCACAACATCAACAATGCATTTGACCCAACTGCTAACAAATGTACAGTGAAGTGGTGATCAAGTTTTGCAAAGGAGATGAGTGCCTTGAAGATGACGAGCATAGTGGCCAGACATCAAAAGTTGACAGCAACCATTTGAGAGGATCATTGAAGCTGATCCTCTTAGAACTACACAGGAAGTTGCCAAAGAACTCAGCATTGACCATTCTATGGTCATTCACATTTGAAGCAAATTTTAAAGGTAAAAAAAGCTCGATAAGTGTGTGCCTCATGAGCTGACTGCACATCATTGTTTTGAAGTGTCGTCTTCTCTTATTCTACACAACAACAAACCATTTCTAGATCAGGTGACATGTGATGAAAAGTGGGTTTCACAAACAACCAGTGAAGACCAGCTCAGTGGTTGGACCGAGAAGCTTCAGATCACTTCCCAAAGCCAAACTTGCACCAAAAAAAAGGTCATGGTCACTGTTTGGTGGTCTGTTGCCGGTCTGATCCACTACAGCTTTCTGAATCCTGGCAACACCATTACATCTGAAAACTAGGCTCAGCAAACTGATGAGATGCGCTGAAAACTGCAGCATCTGCAGCCAGCATTGGTCAATAGAAAGGGCCCAATTCTACTCCACAACAACACACGACCACACTTCACACAAC